CAATTCCAAGGCTTCCGTTAGTCATTGGAGAGTAGTTTCGATCTGGTGGAGCTGTCGGCTATACTGCTCATGCGTCTCAAGCCATCTGCAGACTGCTACACTGATCTCCAAGTTTTTAAGTCTCTCTTTGTTTGTTATCATGGTAACCTGTTCTGATACCAATTGTGATAAGTCTCAATTAGAACAGGAAAATTAAAAACACTGATCTCCAAGTTTTTAAGTCTCTCTTTGTTTGTTATCATGGTAACCTGTTCTGATACCAATTGATAAGTCTCAATTAGAACAGGAAAATTAAAAACAAATTTTCTCCTATGGTAAATTATATGGAGTTCTCAACATTTGGGTATATAATGCATAGAAAACAGATATGTCAGTTTCAGTTAAAAATTTTAATAGATGTTAAATAATAGTTAAATTTATCGCTCACTAATCACATGATTGTGAAATACTATGTACTCCAATACAAGCAACTATTTGGTAAAACACAAGTATGGTATATGGTAAAGAATAAATGATATGGAGTGTAAGAAGAACTGAAAATGTTTACAAACATATTGTGCAAACAAGTAAAAAATGGTATTTTAGTTTATGTAGGTTGTTACTTCTGAAAAAATATTCAGTTGTAGAATCAAGAACCCTATGTAGATTACCAACGAAAACAGTAAGTTTAAGTTGCAATACGGTCAAATCACAAGGGTGAAACTCTGCCTTGCCTATACAAGTAAGAAAGTAGGAAGAGACGGAAGACAAAATATCCTCCTATAAAAGCAATAAAGAAGAAACAAGCAAAGAAAGAAATCATCTTCTATGAATTCACTCTCAAGTTGACATATTTATTATAGTTCAAGTCTATTCTGTGTGAAGAATTTTAGTTATGTAGCAAATTTTCACTTTCAAGTTCTTACGTGCTGCTATTCTTACCATGAACTATGTTTGTTTAGGACTCCATTTTTCATCTTCAAATGGAAAATGAAAAGGTCCGCAGGATTTCCCACTCGGCCGTCTCTCCATTGGCAGTCAGTGGTAAGTGCCTCTCATTTTTCTACCATTACGCTACTGTTCCTTTGAAAATTTCTATAGTGAATAATAGTGCACAAAGGTTCTGTTCATAGATCTAAATACCATTTGACTAATCAAATTGCTGGGCTACCCTGACTTTCCAACTGCTTGGGTATATGCATTTGCTTGCGTGTAACCTAAAAACTTCTGAATATAATAGTATGTTTTTAACTTTCACTCACTGGATATTCATAGACTTGAGAGAGTTATAGCGGTGGGAAAAATAGTTGTACTGCTATATGTAGTATTTTAGAAAATTACATAGGATGTCTATAAACACCTTTAGGTAAAATTATAATCTTGTTCTAGTTCGAGCTGTCTTACTTTATGCATGGGACTCACTCTTAAGTCTTAATAGTAGTTTAAGGCATCAGTTACACTTTTGCAGGGTTTACATCATTTTAGTTGATGCCACTACTAATACTATCATCTTGTTTTTCATGTCACAACATATTCCGCATTCCGCATATTAACCTACTATACATCTGAAGGTATAGACAATAGCTTAAGATAGGGGTTATACAAATTAACGCATCTGTGGAGAAGGAATTTCTCTCTAAGAGAATGGAGAAAAACCAAGTCCAACGTAGTTAGAGGAAACTATTTTTTTTTTCATTTGTTCTCCTTTTATTTTCTTACAAAGTGTTTAGTTGTTAAATTAGCAAACAGTGTTTTAAAGGTATCAAATAGAAATTGTTTTTAGTGTTAGAAATACACTTCAATTATATTTTCTATTGCTTTTGAGGACTCATTAAACATTAAAATAACAATATCCAGAATAATAATAAGAGTTTCATTAATCAATGGAGTTTTAGGTAATGGAAATTTATATTTTATAAATAAACTTAAATTCTATATTAATTGTGACTGTCTTTATTAGTTTTTTAAATGTTACTCTTTGATATTTCTTAAAGTTTAGAATAATATAAAAAAATGGCTTTTGAAGAAAAAATTAGAGAAGTTTAGAAGTAAACTAATAAGTACCTGTTCCTATAAATATGCAAAGATAATTAAAGAGGTTCCAGAAGTAAAATATAAAAAAATTAAAAAAGAGAAGCAGTTGAATGAGATTAATCAACATGGCTTGTGTTTTTGGAGTTTTTTCTATAAGTGGCAAATATAATCATATTGTTTGAAAATGTTATAATATATTAAGAAAATATTTAGTACTACCTTTCTTTAAAAAGTTATCTTAGGACCATATATGGTTATATATACTTTATAAGATTCTCTGTGTTTGGAAAAAGAAAAAGTTATCTGATTTAAGGACAATAAAATCTCACAAGTGGAACTGACCGTACGAGCTGAAGTATCTGATATACGTTCCCTGAGGGCCCTATTGGGGAATATATTCAAGTGAGGTTTAGACTTGCATGGCTTGAACTCGGTTGTCATGATTGCCGACTGCCATTTGGCTGGAGGGCAATTGGCGGGTCATATTTTTTATATGCTGACCCTCTTATTGGACTTTACTTTTAACAGCATCCAGGGGTGTTGCTTGTGTTTTTGCTGCAAGAAAGCGGGCCCTCGTCTACATTTTAGAGGAAGACGAGGATGAAGTTTCAGGTAGCGAATAAGCATCTTTCTTGAACTTTGCACATTTTCACTGACAGTGCAGAGGATAAGGTATCTTGTATTATTGGATTTGATCTTTTTGGTACTTTGTTGTAGCGGTAACATAATTTCAAACAAATATAAATCTAATTTATTATTGTCAACCATAAAAACAACAAAAAAGGGAAAAATATGTAATTTTTTTTAAAAAAAAAAATTACTTTGTGTAGGAACTAAGATGCATAATTTGCATGGTAAACGTCGGAAGTAATAACTGATTTTAAGGACTAAGGAATGACCAAATTATTTCTTGAATGTGCTGATAAGGCTTCTAAAGGTCTTTCTAGAAAAAATAAAGAAAGTAACATATATACGTCAATACTAATTTTAAGAAGATAGGAAACTTACTAGATCTGTTGTGTTTTTCTTTTTTTTTTTTTTTTTTTTTGTTTTGGTCTAACAATTCATAGCAGAAAAGTTCTGAAAAATCTATACCATGAGACACAGGAGTGTGTAACTGTTAGATTGTAATTTTTATTTTATTATTTTATTATCAATTTTAATGTGAATTGAACATAATTTCAATTTCAGTATTAATATTAATATTAATTTTTATTTTATTTCAAACAAATTTTAACATGAATTAGAATGGCTTAATTACAACAATGGTCTTACAACTTTTTGTTAGTTTTCTCTAGTTTATAACTTTGTATGTTTTTACTCTCAATACTCCATAATGGGGGCTTTTTTTAGGTGAAATTTTTAATTGAGGAGTTAAAAGTGAGATTAATTTTGAACTAAAGATCTAAATGTAAGACCAAAGATATAACATCTATAATTAAGGATTAATACAAAATTAGAAATAAAAACTAAAGTGGAATCAGACCAACCTCATGAGAGTGCGGTCAATCTAATCAAGGAGGATAGCTTCTTTTTTTTTTTTTTTTTTTTCGGTTAGCAAATTTTGAGAACAAAAATTTTAAGAAGTGTTTACTTGATCACATGTTTTTACTAATTGGAACCATAAATTTTTTACCTTTTTTTTTAGAAATAAACTCCTCTTCATTATAGACAAAATTAAGAGAGAAAAAAAAAAGGCAAAATAACTTCTCTTTGCCAGTTCACTTCAAGTTCAAGCAGTTGAATCGAAGCCGCAATCAAAGTAACCGCTCAAAGCTGACAACTGAATTCCAAGTTTAATCACTTAAAATGTAAGCGGATGTCACGTTGTAACCCACTTACACCGTTGCACGATGAAAATGCTGGTAATATTTCCAGCAAAAATAACTTAAAGTAATCAAGCAGGAGATGATTTTTAATTTTGATTATAAATTATAAAAGCATCTGCTAATCAAAATATGACTTTATTATGGAGCACTTCAGTTTTTGCTCCAGCAATGTCACTACTACAACAAATTTTAACTTGCATTTCTCACGTTACAATGCTACAACTTACATTATTATGTTGATTCAGATATCTTAACAAACATCAATTTAGAAAGCACAGTAAAATAGGGAGAGAAAGGGCTATAGCCAAAATGTCTAAGTAACGAAGAAACAGATGACATTCTACCGTGCTGATTTTTTCCTGCTTCGGAAGAGGTGTCATCCGAAAGTTTCTCCACGGTCTGCAGGAATCTCCTGTTTAGCAGCTCAGCACCATTGATTTCCATAACCTGTAGGGAAGAACTTCATGGGTAGAAACAACTGTCTTACAGTTGTTAATGTAAAGTTCAATGTACAGGCAAGAACTGTACAAGCAGAGTTGTTCTCCGCTGTCAACAGCAGGAGCTTAAAAAGAAAAGACATTACCTGACAATTCGAGCTCATTATACTAGCCCCTGCTCCAACTTACTTAGGTTATGTTTAGAACAAAGAAAATTTATTTGAAAATCTACATTTTTTTAAAGTACAACCGGTTATGCCTTCCAAAATTATAAAAATTGACATTCTAGATAGTTCTACTTAGAACTAGACTCAATTTTTGTAATTTTGGAATAGATATTTATCCTCTCATTTTTAAATTAAAAATAGATTTTCAAATAAATTATGCAGATAAATTCATTTATTCCAAACATAACCTTTAGATTCAAGCAATGAAGCAGCTCGAGCCCTA